GTCTCCCAGTATAGATGAAGCCATTCATGCCAACAAACCACAGCTGGGACTACGGATGCTTACCCCTCTGGTGCAAGCTTCCCCTTCCTGTCCTGCCCTAGAGAATCCAGTCTCATAACCTAGAAGAACCCATAAAGTCAAAGCCATACCAACAGCACTGCTGTAAGTATATGGGCAGCATGTAGAAGTTCATATTTGTATATATAATTCTGTAGACTTTCACCAGGCAATGTGAATTTTCAGCACCATCTATGCATCGGCCCCTATATTTGGGCTATCAAAAACCACACCTGGGACAACAGTGTTATGATACCGTTGACTGAAGAATGTGAATCTGCATTTGAAGGAAACTATCCGCACCACAGAAACCTGAAAAAGCAGTGGTTGCTTGAGAGTGACCCACAGTCAAAGTGTTGAGCTGCAGAAAACCCAAACATTCCCATGGAAAAATAAGTTAGCCACTGTAAGAGCTCAGGTGGAACCGTTTAAAATCATATATGAGAATGCAACACACCCCAGTAAGTCATCGGGGTGCCTCTCCAGAATTGCTCACCGTGTACGTGCCGATTGCCCTAACACCAAGGAGTAATGCCGTGTTTGGCCTGGGGTTCTGCTGTTCGTGTGTGCCTGGCCTGGCACCCCTGCTTGAAGAGCAGCTCTAAAACCTGGGGGCGATTCCCAAAGCTCCTTCTTCTGTGGCTCTCCCCTGTCTCTTTACCTTCAGAAACTGATACCAGCAACGGCCCAAGGCTTCACTTTGCTGCTTCTGTTGACTCTGCCTGAAGCACTGCTCCTGCTCTGACACACATCACTTGGTGCAAAGGCTCATTTCGTGCAGCACTGTAGTTTTTTTCCTTTAGCCCTTCACTAACCATTTCCAACATCCCCTTTACCTTTCTGACTGCTGCTGCAAACTGAGTGGAAGCTTGGAGAGGATGAGCCATGGTGATTCCAGGACACTCACCGCTGGGTTCCACCATCAGGATTATTTATGTTATTTTGCTTATATTAACAGTGGATTTCAGCTACTATTTAAAATACCCTGTCAGCTTTTATTTTCAGTATCTTGAATAACTTTATCTCAGCAAACTCTGTCACGCTGTTGTTCCCTATGCACAGCACAGGAGCTTGCACAGCTCTTTGGAGCTCCACCGGGAACAGTTTAGGAACTGCTGACACTACTTTCCATGTACTAACGTCACGCTGAGCAAGCCAGAATTTCAGGATGCATAATTTATCAGCTGCCCATTATTAATTCCGGATTGAATGGATTTTTACTTTTGTCCAGAACACACAAGCTGTTTCCAGAGAGCCCTATGCGCAAGCCCTGGGAGCCAACCGCCAGTTACTGCCACATGGACTCAAAACAACCAGTGTGCATCAGTGGTGCTACAGTAAATACCAACACATCGGCTTTGAATTTATCAGGTCACAGCTTCCATATGGGAAACCAGTACAGGGAAACCAGTACAGGCAACAAGCTCAGCGCACCTCCCCACTCGATCCTTTCTGCAGTGCAGCAGCTGAGTCCTACATGGCAGCACGCTTCTGGCTGCGAACGCAGAGCAAGGACAAGAAAACTGAGCGGCGGGAGGCAGAGAGGAGGCGTACGATATGAGCACAAGGGAGAAAGACAACACAGAAACTGGCATTATCAGGGAGGGAGCAATCTTTTAATTGTCCCCCTTTTTCAGGTTTCCGTAGACATTTGGAAACCCCAGTAACAGCACTGATGTTGCAGGGACTTTGGAACAGCTTGATTACAACCCAACTCAAGTGTGGTTCTTCAAAACCAAACCCTTGTCCAACGGAAACAGAGCTGGGGCAATACAGATGAGGAACAGCCTGTGCTCCTTGTTATTGGTTGTTGTTTTGTTGGGGTTTTTTTTCCCCTGAGTGTACTGCAGATATCAGTGGGATAGTTTTAAGTGTGAAGTTTTCAGGTATTAGTCAGACATCATTAACAAATAATTTACTTCTAATGAAAAGGATGGCACTCCTCTTTTCTTCAGTTGCAGAACAGGCTGTTTAAGCCTCTGTTCATACACCTCCTCAGCAGGGCACTGTAATTATGTGTGAGATTTCTAACATGACATTATTCTACCACTACCTCAGAAGCACAATCAAGTCATAGATCACAAAATCCATTAGCTGATCCAGGACTAATCAAGTGCTTTCTCTTTGTTCCAGGTGATTAAAGGGAAGGTGGGAGGAAAACGACCATCGCCTCTCTGCCTTTTACTTGCTTGCACTGGAGCTAGAGGAGGCATTAAGCACGGGCACAGACCAAGCGAGTATCACTCCTCACGTGCAATCCATGCACATGCCTGCACTAGCAAATTACGCTGTTAAAGCTGTAATAAAAAAACATTCTCTCTCATTGCCCCATACATTTTCCAGTAAAGGGCTTGTTCAAAACAAAACAAAGCCCAAAAAACAGCTGACCAAGAACAACCTACAC